GAGAGAATGGCTAGACTTTGTCTCGCATGCTTTGGTCATGTTGTCAGAAGGGACCATTCCCTGGAGAAGGATATCTTATTTGGTAAAGTGGAGGGTCAACGAAACAACAAATGGATTTACACAGTGGCTGTAGTGATGGGCTTAGGTATAGCAAGGTTTGGGAGGCTGGCACAGGACCAGGCAGCGTTTTGTTCTGTTGTACACGGGGTCACTATGAGTCGGAGCTGACTTGACGGCACCTAACCACAACAACAACAGCAAGGGAAACCAGTTAATACTACTGTTATTCAGATTTAAGCAGCAACCCCTAAAGCCAAAGATGAAGAAATTGAAGATTTTTACCAACTTCTGCAAACATACAATCAGGATGTATTGATTATTACTGGTGTTTGGAATGTGAAAGTTGGAAACAAAGAAGAAGCATCAGTAATTGAAAAATACGGCCTTAAGGGGTGATAGAAATGATGCCAGAGATCGCATGATAAAATTTTGCAAGACCAGTGATTTATTCATTGTAAAAACCTTTTTTTCAGCAGTATAAATGGCAACTTTACATGTAGATCTGACCAGACAGAAAACAGAAGAATGAAATTGAATACATCTGTGGAGAAAGACATTGGAGGAGCTCAGTCTCATCAGTCAGAAGGAGGCCGGGGTCTGACTATGGAACAAACCATCAATTGCTCATATGCAAGTTTTAGTTGAAGCTGAAGAAAATTAAAATAAATCTATAAGAGCCAAGTTATAACCTTGAGTATAAACCAAAAAAACTCCAAACTCACTACCATTGAGTTGATTCCAACTCATAGTGACTCCCACTGGGTTTCCAACTCTGTAAATCATTATGGAAGCAGACTGCCTCTTTTTTTTTTTTTTCCCTTAGAGTGGCTTGTGGGTTTGAACCACCAAGCTTTTGGTCAGCAGCCAAATGCCTTAATCACTACACCACCAGAGATCCTTGTAACCTTGAGTATATCCCACCTGAATTTAGAGACTATCTCAAGAGTAGATTTGACATACTGAATAATGGGCAAAGATAAGACAAGTTATGGGATAATGTCAAGGACATCATATATGAAAAAAAGCAAAAGGTTATTAAAGACAGGAAAGAAAGAAAAGAGCAAAATGAATGTCAGAAGATACCCTGAAACTTGCTCTTGAATGTAGGGTGGCTAGAGGGTCAGTGAAAACGAGGAAGACCTTCGATGAGATGGATTGACACAGTGCAACAAAGGGCTCAAGTACAGGAAGGATTGTGAGAATGGTGCAGGACTGGGCAGTGTTTCGTTCTGTTGTCCACAGGGTTGCTGTGAGTTGGAACTGACTCAATGGTACCTAACAACAGCAACAGAATTTTTGGGTCATGTGGTAATTCTGTATTAAACTTTTTGAGAAACCACCAAATCAATTTCCACAGTAGCTGCGTATTTCACATTCCCATCAGCAGTGTATAAAGGTTTGTATTGTGGCTTTTGAACTCATTTTTTTTTTTTACTTTATCAGCATGACTTAAGGAGATTCTGCTTTTCAACTTCATTCTGCTTGGATTGAATTCCTTGGTAGCTTTCTTATCCTTGGCATTGTCCCAAGTTCAGATTTATGTACACGAACAGGCTTGCTTTAACTCCCTAGAGATGACAGTGTCAAGAAGTCACTTGTTTCACAAGCATTTGGTGGTGGGCACACTAACACTGTTTTCTTTGCTTGCAGTGATCACTGGCCAGCATCGAAATGGTGTCATCTCAGCCCGAACTCGGATTGATGTTCTTTTGCATACTTTTAGAAGGAAGCAACCCTTCACTCACTTCCTTGCTTTTTTCCTAAATGAAGCTGAGGTTCAGGAACGATTCCTGAAATTCCAGGAGGAAGTACTGGAGAAGTGCTCCATGGTAAGCAGTAAACAAAACAAAGCAAAAAGCTGAAAATAAAAGTCAGATATACAGAAGGATACAAAAATGGTTCATAATTCAAACAATAGAAGGACACAGACCTCTTTCTCCACCAAAAAGGGTTACTATTTCGGATGTGTTTTTTTTATAATTTTTAACTGAAAAAAATACATGGACATATTAGTATATGTCTCTGTATTTTATAGAAGAAATATCCTTAAAAAATTTCAAGACACAAAAGGCTCATCCTTTTAAGTCCATTGTTGTGTACCTTGTGGGTAGCATTGTGAATCTGATGACATCTATAGTCTT